GGTTACCAGAGACTACAAAGGGCAGGGCCAAGACAGGAGAGAGGTGGGCCACGGAAGTACGGATTCCACAGTCAAGGCGCGCCTTGAGCAGAGTGAGGGGCATCCCTGGTGGCACATGACACGACTCTTCAGACTTCTGAGGACGTGTGGCGTGAGGTAGACGGCCATCAGTGTGTCCTGTCTGCCAGGAACATAACCACGTTCTGAATTGTTTCTAGTTTCCTTATCTCCACAGACGAAACTGTCACATTTTAAAAAAGGGCTGTAGTTTGAATATACCTGGAATGTCTCCCAAAGGTCCGCATGGCGAGGTTTCCTCCCTAGCCATCGTGCTGTTTTGGGGTGGACCATTCAGAGAGATGACACATTGTGAAAGGAGACCAGGTCATTAGGGCTGTCCCCTTGAAGGGGACACTGGGCCACCGGTGCTTACTTGTTTTTTTTTTCTGCTCCTTCCTTGCCACATCCAGCACTTTCCCCTAGCCTGCGCGTCCACAAGCTGATGGCGATGGGGCCAAGGCATTTGCATGGAACCTCCCGAAACTGTAAAGTAAAATAAGTGTGTTTCTTCCCTTCTGAGTTGAATGTTTTGCTTACTTTGTCGCTGTGACTGGAGCTGGCTGCTGACTGGCTCCACGGGCCATCTTGTAAGTAACTTCAAAAATGGTCTCTCTGTGATGTACCGAATTTAATTTTAAACCGTGTCCAGGCTTTAGTCCTTGCTCCCTTCGGGAGTAAAGCTGAAACCGGCATCGTGGCACATTGGGGCGCATAGGACAGGAGACTTCTGCTTTAATCAAATCCAGGGGCTCAGTGCTGGGCTGTGTTCCAAGCCCTTGACTGCATCGTTACCTTTCCCAGCCCTGCATGGCATGCTTGCACCTATACGAGGCACAGACCGTGGCCTTCAGACCCTTGCATCAAATCTACTTCCTGTCTGGGTGCACCCGTATGCACTGCCTGCTCTCTGGGCGCACTGTCCCCCAACCATTTCAAGCATTAAGCTTTGAGTCCATCTGGGAGAGTATTGGGTTCCAGGATGTGCACTCTTGCTACAATAACAAAATCCGAGTGGCTCATAATTAGTGATAAAGGGGCGTGCCTTGCTCTGGGAGCTGTTGTAGTTGAATAATTATGGAATGCACATAAAGGCATATACATATGTGGATCTAAGTGTTGTGTTATTTGGGGACTACAACTCGGCAGAGCCCAGGTGACTGGCGGGTGATAAACCAAAGCGGCTAGCAAGAAAAGCTTCTCTTAACAGAATGGTACCAGGAGTGGGTTTCCACAGAAAATGAAAAGCTGAGGATTCCTTCCAGGCTTCTGTGGTTTGACGAACCAAGACCCCCAGAAGCAGTGGACCAGATGTTCCAACAATTGAGACAGCTAAGATGATGGAGCTTCATAAACCCTAAAAATAAGGACTTATACAGGTTTCTGAGTTTTGTCATGATCCCCATGGTATGAACAGCGCCCCCTTCCAGCATGAAGCAGTTTGGAATGAGGGACGTCCTAATTCCCATCTTGTTTATAAACCTTTGTTTTCATTTAAATGGGATTGTTTATAATTGGTTAATGATCACAACCAATCTCTTTTTAATGGTAAAAAAGGGAATTATGGTATGGGCATTGTTTTTCATTTATTGATACAAATTCAAGGTCAATTTTGTGATGTGTATATTTCTCCTCTTGATTAAGTATTGTGCTTATACTGATCCTTTACAACGTAATGCATAATTGAATACAGATTACAGATAGTTACTTATAATAGTCAGAATTTATAGTTAGGTAAGTTAGGTTTTCTAGATATACAGAAATATATTTGAGATAGATGGTCTTCAAACCTTTCAAAGACCTTAAGAAAATGGCATTTAAAATGGTTTAGGGTTTTTCTGGACAATGAGAAATGTCTGCTCCTGGCAGCACCAATTACGTCTGAGAGGAAGATAGGCATCGAAGAAACTTGTTATGGAGTTTGCTTTCAACATGGCAAGATAAGCCATTTGGCAAGAAACTGCTCTTGCCTGCTTGACTGTTGTTGTATAATCTGGACATGCAGGACCCACAGAAAAGTGACTACTGAACTGATCTTATAGGGTTCCTGCTTCATGAAAGAGTCTAAGAGACTTTCTACAGGACAAAGAAAAATGAGTGACAGACTGCCAGCACAGATGGACAGTTTGAAATTTCCTGCTTTGCTGAGAAGTGTTCCAGACACATTGTGGCCTATGGGCTGAAGATGGATGCCCCAACGTTACAGAGGAACTTCGGGTGACTGTCCAGGCAGTAAGATACCTCTGTCAATCCTAGTGTTTATATATTATCCTTCTGTGGTCTTTGATGGAGTTGAAGACAGATAGTTATAATTATAGTTTTCCTTAGTTATGATAAAAGATAAGCTACAAAAAGGACTTTAGACTCACAAGGATGGGATGGATGATATTTTCTTTAGATCTTGCTAAATGTTAATAGACAAAATGTTGTAACTGTGTTCTTACTTGATAACTGTTCTGTCATATACAATTTGACTATGTTAAAGTTAAGACCTTTCTTTTTGTTTAAACAGAAAAGAGGAGATGTTGGGGAAGTCCTGTGTATATGTCAATAAATTACTGCTGGCCAATAGGAATCTAGATAGGTGGGGCTAGGAGTCCAGGAGGATTCTGGGAAGGAGAAACACAGGAGAGTTCGAGATGTAACTGCCATGGGGTAGGAAGCCCGGAACTATTCTCTGGTAAGAGAAATACTTAGATTAACAATTATGGGGTAATTACTTAAGTCAGAGCTAGAAAGAAAGAAACAAGCAAGGCCAACAGCTTCATAATTAATACAGCGTCTTGTGTGTTATTTGGGGACTACAACTCGGCAGAGCCCAGGCGACTGGCGGGTGATAAACCAAAGCGGCTAGCAAGAAAAGCTTCTCTTAACAAAGTGTGAGACACAGTGTGATGATTTCTTCTAGTACAGATGAGAAACTGAACCATTCTGAGGCTAATCCAAAACTTATAGCTGGTTACTAATAATAGGCAGAGGACATTTTAGAAGGCAGATTGACTCCTGCTGAAGAAAAATTCAGCTATCATTCCTGGACATGGTTAGGTGAAGCATTGTATTAGTCATCTTCCTGTCACTCTAACAAAGTTCCTGAGATAATAAACTTGCATGAGGAAAGGTTTGTCCGAGGGTATAGATGAGCTCGTCCAGGCTTAGTTTATAAATGAAAGTTCTTTCCGTACCCAAAGTATGGACATAACCTTTCAGATTCTGTGGTTTTGAGAAGTCTTGCTTACTTACTGCAGAGGGGAAAGAGGCTGTTCGGAGCCTGTTTGCCCTGGGCAGAGCTTTCTTCCCGCTGCACTGGAGCATCCACTCTGTTTGAAAGGGTGTGGCGATGTCTTCAGGATCACGTGGATGGAGGCTTGGATACCGTGTGGAAAGAAGATGGGTCCACAGGATCCTTGACCCTTACGCTCCCATGTAAGCCCAGTAAACAGAACAGGCCTTGGCCAGGAGTGTTGACTTCCCGGAATCTTAGGACGCAGTTGGTTGCCCACAGCGCTCGTTCTGCTTTCAATGCCAACCTGCACTTCCACATCCTCGGTCCCCAGAGTGATTTTTTCCCAGAGCCTAAATCCCTTAGAGTCCCTTGTGCTTGAAACTCTGTCGCACTCCCCGTGGGACTGAGGGCAGTGTTCCCAATGTTTAGTGCGCTCTGGAGGTTCCACGGTCTGCACCCACCTGCCCCCCCCCCCCCCCCCCGTCTGGTGGTTCACACTTTCCAAGGGTCCTCCTCTTGCTTGGATATACTGTGCGGCTGCTGTAACTGTGCAGGGAGGTGTTCCTCTTCCCTGAAGGTGCCAGGTCCCACCACAAAACAAGCTTTTGTTCATGTAAGCTCCAGGTCAAAGGTCTTTTCCTTTGGACGATATCCCCTCTCTTCCTTGGAGTTCAGTACCTGATTCTACCTTTGCATTTATTTATTTATTTATTTATTGCTACGACAGACCCTTCTGTCCTGCATTTTCTGCTGGGCCATGAGCTCATGAGGACAAAACAACGAGCCTGTCCTTTGTACCTCAAGTACCTGGCAGGGCACCAGATGAGCGGATACTCTGTCAGAACCTCATGTGAAGGCCTGAGCAACAGAAGGCCCCCCCTTCCCCACTCTAGTCAAAGCTACCATGCTGAGGGTATGTCCTAAGGTCATAGTCAGTTCCCATGCAGACAAAAATGCTGGCTGTCAGGTAACCATCTTGTTACACGAATAATAATAGCAAGTCCTTTGAAGTAATCTAACAAAATTATGTTTACTAACAACAAACCCCTGTAAATTATGAGCGATGCATGAAGCACAGACACCACCCCGAAGAAGCTTGGTGTCCACCCAATCATTTGTTTATAATGTGTATCAATTACTTTTCTTCTGTGTGCAAGACATTAGGCTAGGAATGGGTCCCGGGCAGTAGGTCCTACAGATGAACAAGCATATTTTTAACTGCATGTGACAAAGGCAATGCGGAAAATGGATAGTGTGGGATCAGCAGGAGTTAGTAGCTCTGTGTGGAGGTGGGAGGTGCCTGGCATCATAGAGACCTGTCTGTGTGATCAGGGACTCCTCTCGAGGGAGGAATGGCACTGACGAGATGGGATTCCTCGTTGCTTTTCTATTGAGATGACAAAACGCCGTGGCAAAGGAAACTCGCAAAGGGAAGTGTTTAATTTGGGGCTTACAGTTCTAGAGGGGTTGAGTCTCTGACCATCTTGCAGGAAGCGTGGCAGCAGGTCGGCAGCCACAGTGCCGGAGAAGTAGTTGAGAGCTTAGATTTTGATCCACAAGTGTAGGCAAAGTGAGTTAACCGGTAATCACACTAGTCTTTTGAAAACCCAAAGCCCATCCTCTCCTGTCCCCAGTGACATGCCTCCTCCAACAAGGACATATCTCCTAACTTTCCCCAGTGTCACCAACTGGGAACCAAGTATTCAAATATATGAGCCTCTTGGAGTGACATTTTTATTCAAACCACCACAAGGAGGACACAACTCAAAGAGGAGACTAATGCAGGGATGGAGAGACGCTACTGTAGCCAGGCATGAAGATGCCCAGGAGGAGAGGAGAGGGGCGGAGTTATAGATGCCCAAATGCATGAAGAGAGAAAACTGGTGGTATTCATCCAAACTTGGGTCCATGTTGCTTTGTAGGGCTGTCCTGTAATCTTCCCATTTAGGACTCATTACTGACAGCACATCCAGGCCCCCGTGGTGAACACTGGAACTATCTGTACATGATAAAACAACCAAAACCTGGAGCACAAAGGAGCCCAGGTGTCGGCTGGGCTTTCAGGGTTCAGAATCGCCCAAACTCTCTGTAGAGTTGGGCTTCTCCTTGCTGTCTAAATGAGACATTTTACAGAGGAGGAAAGTAAGGACTCAACAGAACTTAAACCACATGTCCAGGGTCACACAGCTTGACTCTGATCATCTAAACGTGAACTGGATCATCTACGTGGCACTAGATCTCATGTTTCCCCAGTTTCCAACAATGTGCTGTCAGGCAAAACAGAGTAAATCCTCATGGCAGAAGTGTATACTGTTATGGAAAAGTGCATCAGGCTTCTTTATTCCAGCCAAGAAATAAAGCACAAAGAAGTCAGAACCTCCCTGAAGATGGTGCATCAGAAAACACCAAAGGGCAGAGATGTTCTACTCTGGGATGCTATGTTGCTATGCAATCTCTCTGTCCTGGTTAGACAAAGGACTCTGTCCTGGGTTGCTCATAGCTCAGCCTTAGACTATTCTCATTTAATAAGTTGTGATCTATTGACATCTACGCACATGAGCAAAATCAATGACTATGGCTGTTGGGAGCATAGATTCACCTTTACCTACACTACCTTGCTTTTTTTTTTCATGTGGTAACAGGTGATTCTGGTTTTGCATCTAAATTCCATTTGTTCAGAGGGGCAGCTGTTCCATTTTTATTAAAAGATAAAGGCATTCCTGTCTACAACCTAGTTTCAGTACATCCCATAGTTTCCATTCTGAGATAATAACATACCACGCACCGCCTCCTTGTACTGTGGGTTTCTTCTGGTTTCTTCCCTGGATCCTATGAGCTTAAGGATCTCAGAAATCTATACCAAGGCACTTCAGCCAGAATGGTGCAATGGTGATTAGTGTTCTTGGAGATTTTGTCTCCTGTTGAAGAAATGGAAAGTTGACAGTACTCAAACCGTGACTTCCCTGCAGCTCCCAACAGGGGCCCCTGGCGAGGCCACCTTCATAGCCACCTTATCAGCATCTCTGCCCAGCCTCCCCGCACCCCACTTTGACTTACTTCCCTGATCAGAAGCCAGAGGAATACGACCCAAAGCTCTCCCGGTGACATGCAGAGCCCTTGCTCTGAGCAACCTCAACGTTTTCCTGAGTCCCTACAAGGAGACTGCATGGTTGACTCCCTGCCACTTGGTGATGTGTCTCCCCTCCCCCAATGGACTGTGAAGCCAGAGTTCCCTTGTCTTGTCCCCACATCTTCTGATGATGGTCTTAAGATATCCAAATCTAGTCATTTCCTCTGCCCCTCCTCTGCCCATCGCCCATACCTGGATCACGGTGCTGTGCTGTCCAGGTGAGACCCTCCCAGTTTGCTGCCCTCCGGGATGCCACAGGCTGCCCGGGTTCTACCCTCCAGGGTATCGTTCTCCGAGGCACCGCCCTCCAGGGGCTGTGGCTGGTAACTTACCATCTCTGGAGAACTCACATGTACCAGAGAACCAGCTCCCCACAGCACAGGCTGCACTTGAAGCGGATCCTGGGGGAAGTGGTGTGCCCCAGCATGGCCTACAAAGCAGCTGTGCACTCACGGAAGATGACCGGATGCTAAAAGACGCGGCGGGGTCTTGTGTCCGTTTGTGTCACAGTAGACCTTCTCTTGTAGAGTTGCCCTACCATTCATTCAGCCAGGTTTGCAGTATAAGTTTCATTGCCATATCCTGGGAAAGCATTACTGAGCATCCAATAACCCCACACAGGCTTATCCATAATACTTAAAAAAATTAATTTTCCGGGCGTCGCTCGTGTTAGCCTTCTGCAAATATTTGTCTTGTGTTTGTAAGCTCCATGGTTGCTCAGAGTCTGTTCACCGGCACGTTGTAGGGTGCGTAGTCACGTGGGGCTATTTGACCAACAAGATTTTCATAAACTTTTAATTCATCGCAAACATTTATAAACCGAGAGATCCTGCCCCCCCATTCACAACCAGATTTCTGCGTTCTACTGAAAGCTGAGTGGTCCCGCATCCCTGCTCCTGGCAGCGCCGTGACTGACGCCGGAGCCACTTGTGCATGTAGACATTGCCTCCAGTTCTCTCCTGGCACAACCACACTGTCTTTCAACTAGAATTCTTAGCCCATCCCCCACCCCCTGCAGAACCCACATGAGAATGGAGAGGCCTCAGAGTTCAGCCATCATGGCTCTTTTTTTTTTTTTTTTTTTTTTTAGCTCCTTGTTACCAGTTACCACCTCCAGGACTTTGAGGGCAGAGGCACCGCCTTTCCCCCTCCCTTGGAGGACAGTGGGGGTGAGTAATGGTTGGTGAGGGCAGGGTTGGGACCCTTGTCTGAGACACTGGAACCCATCACCCTGAGCACTGTCCGAATTAAAATATCTGCAAGCAGCCGTAATCCAGCCTGATAGCCAATGACCTAGCCGCCCCACCCCCGCCCCGCACCACTTACAAAAGCCACGCCATGCCAAAGTGATTTTTTTCAAAAATGTGTGCGTGTACCCGGACTTCTGCACGTCAGTGGGATTTGTGGCTGTTGGGTTCAGTGACCTGGTGATCACTGTCTTACCTATAGAAAGAGTGAACCAAACCAGTGAGTATCACAAGCAGGATCATGTTAATGACACTTTAATATACGCTATATCCTTAGCTTCTAAATGCTGACTTAAGCTACATGTAATTTGCCTACTGTGTTTCCTTAAAAGAAAAAAAAAAGGGGGGGTGGGAGCTGTCACGGTTGTTGTGAGCTATCACTCAGGCCCCTCCCACAATTGTAGAATGGCTTTTATTGCTTGACTGTTAGCACACTCCTTAAAGTCCTATTGGTGTTTTAATTACTTTAAGATAATTACTCTGCGTGTTGGAATTCAGCTCTTTGTGCCCTGCAAGGGCGTCCTTGGAGGATGAATTCTGCTGACCCTGCAGACTCGCACCCTGCACCATTACCCGGGTGCCAGGACGTGCGACGGTTTGGCAGTGTCCTCTACTGAAATCTCTGCCATTTCGGGAAGACCTTGACTAGGGGGTTCTGACAAGGAACTCGCTCGTACCATAGCTTTGTGCAAAAAAACAGCAAGTATTTCTATTGGCTGGCAATGTATAGTAGTTTAATATCATCGTGTCTAATTGTTTGCTATAATATTCATTGGCTTTGTCTCCGGGTCACAGTAAAATTTATAGCTAATGGAAAAATTTCCTCTGTTTTTGAGCAAAAAAAAAAAAAAACAGGTTTTGGAATGAAACTGAATGCAAATCCAACAAGCAGTTTCTGGCCAGAGAAAATAACAGTGCAATCAGTTGAACGGCCTACTTTATCGGTTCTCAATGCTATATCTCAAATCCTGCTCTGGGTGTTGGGGACTGGGGGTGGGGGTGTGTGCGGGGTGCGTTCAGAAGTCCAGTTTCTCACCTTTCCACCATGTTTGCTTGTTTCATAACTCCTCCTACGTGGCAATCTGAGTGAGGGACGCGGGTCGGGAAAGAAGGCCGAGGGCGTCATTTCTGGTCGCTGTGGAACACCGGGAGAGTGGGTGGAACACTGATGGCCAGGTGAGGCTTGGGGAGTCTTGCTAGTCTGTGCTGGCTGCCCGTTGTGGGTGGATGCTAAAGATAGACAGCCAGCCAGCGTGCAGCTGACTCCCTGGTCCCCTTGGGGTTGTTTTCCGAGTACGTCCCCCTGCTCTGGAGCGCGGGCAAAGGCATGAGCAGATGCGCTCAGATGGACATGGGTTTGTCTGCCCTTACGTGACATCTTCTTGTGACAGACCGCAAGGCCTTCTCAAGGCACCCGCCGCTCTCCTTGCTTTGTGCTAGCACATTTTCTCTCTCTCCCCCAGGGAAGTCAAGGGAGGGAGGAAGAAGAGGGAAACTGGGGTCCCCAGAGGGAGGAAGAAGAGAGAAACTGGGGTCCCCAGAGCTCCCCCTACCCAGTAGTAGAAAGGCAGCTGTTCTGCCAGAGCCCTCTGGGGGCTGGCTTACCTGGAGCCTGACATCCCAGACTGCTCGCCAGCCCCTGACAGCAGGAAGGAGAAATCTGCTCCATCTGGGAGCTCCCCAATTCCCTGGCTTTGGAAGAAGCACAGAAAATAAAAGTTGGCGGGGACGACCGTCGCATCCTTGGCTGCCCGCTGTGGTCCCATAAGCTCAGAGCTGCCGTGTACACCCTTCCCAGATCCTCAGCATCGTCTCTCAGACTGACCCCACCAGCCTCAGCTAGACCAGGGTCCTCTGGAGTTCCCTCTTATCCCCGGGGGCCTCCTCACATACTGTGTTCTCCACTTCCCATACTTTACCCAAGTTCCTCCTGGTCCCGTGTCCTCTGAGACATCACCCCAGCCAGGTCACATCTGAAGATTTCCCTTCTCCTGAGAAGGCGAATCATCCCCTTGGCTCTCAGCCCTACACCAAGGTTCTCCCCGTTCGCTGATAATATTCCTGTAACCATAAATGCTTGATTCTGTAATGAAAACAATACCGACATGAGACACACATACCTATAGCCGCAAAACCTCTTTCTGGATCCCAACCCTCCTACCTCCTAGGAGATTTCAGGAGAGCGAGCTCCTTTTTCTATGCCCTTTGTCTTCCTTGAAAACTCCTGCGATGGCCTGTGATACACAGCAAACGACAGCTGAGGGATGGCCTGTTTGAGCGGAGTCCCCTTGGCCCAATACAGGCAAAGAGACTTGATTTCAGGCATTGGGAACAGCATCAAAGCGTCCTTCCCAGCTATCTGGCCCATTCTTCACCCACCTGGCCTCCATGGCTGTGCAGGTCAGCCTTGGAAGACCTGTCTGGCCTCCCACAGATCCCCTCTAATGTTCGTCAGTGTTACTGGCCTTGGGTTCAAGCCATTGTCTATTTCTTTCCCAGCCTGTGTTTCTCCTTTGTGTCTTTGCCATAAACCTGCCTCTCCCAGTTGAACCTGTAGTAGTAGTGAAGAGTTTTTCACCTAAATTTCAGAGCAGCTTATAAACACTCCGCTTAGTTTCAGCCAGTTGGATACAAGCAATCATTAAATCATCCCCTTTTCCCAGGGTGCTTCTCTGTGAAGCTCAAGGAAAGGAGAGCAAGGTTGAGAGAGGGGGGGGGGAGAGAGAAAGAGAGGGGAGGGGGAGATGCTTCGCCACCATTAAAACAGGATAGCTTGGAGACCAAGCAGCAGTTTTTAAAAGTACATCTGCCTAAACTCCACCGAGATGATTTTAGCCAATAATTTAGCATCTCCCACAGGAAAGACCTCCTAGAGACACCTGGATCATTATCCAGGTTTCAAGAAGACCGAATTGCAGAAGTGATTCGGAAACGAGGCTCAGTTCCACTCTCAAATGCAAATTACACTAGGATGTCACCAAGAAAGGAAACCAGGACAGAGGCAGTCACAGCTAGTTGTTCAAACTCCTGTTCTACCCAAAGTCTGAGACAGAATTTGCTGCAGGATGTCTGAAAATGCCTTTCCCTGGAAGATTCCGTCTCACAAAGGTCCCTCATCACATACACAGCGTTTTTCTGAAACTGTCTATTCTTCTATTCCTGCCTTGGGAACAAGAGGCCGCCCTGAAGCCTTGGTTCGCACAGTGATGAGTCATGCACTCTAGGACAGATAGTACTCAGCGCTTTGCTCCCACAGCACAGGGCCAGGGGTGCTTCTCTCTCCATCCCCAAAGTCCTGCTCCGGGATGCCCTAATACATGTAAACGGCATTTAAAAATGTTTCAGATGGCCCCAGCGCCCCAGGGCCCGGTGAAATTAAGGAATGTGTCCTCTGAGACTGTCAGTCTGAAGGGAGACTGAAAAGGAGAGGCTGCTTTACTCCCTGATGCCCTCCCCCGGTTGTTGTTTGGGAGGTAGGAGGGAGCACCCGGGCCACAGAAATGTGCCGTTTTCATTTATTCCGGGCACACGTTCCTCCTTTCTCTCATACCTGTCACTCCTCAAGCCTTTTCCTCAGGACTGCCTCTTTCAGAGGCCCTATTAAGAGAGCCCCCCAAGGACTGGTTCTAAATCTTCCCCATCACAACCGGCAGGGTTTGAGAGCGTCATGGCAACACACCTGACTCACTCTCCTGCAAACAGGAGATTTAATAAAATTCCTTCACTCTCTAACTCTGTTTTTATTAAATTCCCACCCCCCCACACACACATACACACATAAATAGTAGCAGCAACGCCTTTTAGAACTGACGCTTAAGAGTCTTGATGTTGCCTTGGGTGTTGATGCTGGCTGTCTGCCTTCCTTATTTTTTAGTTTTTTAATCATTCTTTAGCAGAGACCCGGTTAGTCTGTGGTGGGCTGGTCCTTCAGCACGCCCTCGGTAAAGTGTAACTCCATCTGAGACTCCGCTTCTGCAGGGTCTTCCCAGGGAGGGTAAGCGTACAGAGAAAATGACTGATCCTAAGTGCAGCTATTTCCAACAGCAGTGGAAAGCCGGGTTTGAATACAAGTATCATTTGCTTGAGAAGCAAGCCAACTGTATCATTACAAGCGAGGAGTCCCCCTCACGTGGGCAATGAAGGCCTTAATTTAGGGCACCATGTTCCCTTCCCATTAGGAGCATCTTGAGGCTGAGGCACGGCCTCGGCAGCTTTTCATCTTCCTGTCATGTGTGGAAGTGAGAGATTTAGAAAAAGGTTCCTGCTCCCACCGAGAACATGAGGCTTCAGCCCATGTCCTCAGCTGCCCTGTGGTTGTCAACTGAATATCTAATTTGCTAAGTTGAAAGCAGCTACGAAGTCAGCTGGTTTGCTAATGCTATGATGTTCATTCCAAGGTAGATTTCTTTTTTGTTTTTTGAGAATGAGTGTAACTACTTGTTTTATACCACCTGGAACTCAGGATGCTCCAGCCTTGGCCTACACACACACACACACCCACACACACACACACACACACACACACACACACACACACACACACACACACAGGGCTAGCCCTGTCTTTGCAGACCTGATTGCCCAGGCTTGCTGGGCAAGGCACACACCCAGAGACGTTGCTGGTCCTAGGAGATGCAGTAGAGAAGGGAAACCAGACAAGGTCACGCTCACTGCAAAAACCAGCCAAGGCCACGCCCACTGGAAGAGCAGGCCTTTCTTTGTGTACCTGTGTGCCTGGTGTTTTGGCAAAGCAAAAAAAAAAATGCTATAAATAAACAGGACTCTTGCTTATTTATAAACAAGATGAAAATGGCCAGTAAGCGGCTTCCTTAGTGAACCATCCCAAACGGGGGCGCTTGAAAGAAGTCTGCAAACTTATTATTCCTAAACTCTTAGCAGATCATCACAGGAATTTATGCTGTACACCTAAGTGGGCACCCTGGCATCTAGTGAGCCTATCCCCACTCTAGACATGGGCTTTGGGGCCAGAAGTGTTACGCTGAAGCCTGTGGTGGGCGATTAACATGTGGAAGTTACTACGGACTATTCTGCACTTTTATTAAAGTGAACCAGTAGATATGATGTCGGTTTTTCAAGTCCCTAGTTGAGGAAACCCCCTTCCCAGTGGCACTTTCAGGTGGGAAGATCTGTGTACAGGGCAGACAGAGCACTTGGACCTCTGAAAACAGGTGGCTCCCAAGACCTGTGGAGAAGCGGCTTGGACCACGGGATGACTTCCCTCCTCCTGTCTGGGAACACGTCATCGTGACCATGAGGGGAGTCCTTGACTCTCAGTGAGAGTCGGCATCTGTGCTGAGCTTGCTGCCAGGGAGGGAAGCAGCTAGTGTGCCCGGGACCATAGGACAGAAGGGTAAGTCAAGGCCCCATCCCCCAGAGGGGCTGACTCAGCAGCGGGGGTGGAGGCTCTGCCTCATTTCACCTGACAGGCCCTACCGGGCATGCTCCTTCCGTGGTTTCCAGTGCCTCTTCAGTCTTTTTTCTCCATCCCTGGAGCATCCTGGAATATGGTTATTATGAGGGAAAAAAAATCTGACACTCTCTGCAAGGACCTGTCTGGAATTCTAATGTTTCAGATTGCAGCACAGAATTCCCTTCTTAAAGAAGAGGGTGGCTCTGGCTCTTTTGGAAAGTGTGGGACCCTCACACCACCCTCAGATTGTCACTCCAGTCTCTCACACCTCTCAGAGATGTGTGAGACTCATGGTTGGAAGACAAGAGCATCCCAGTGGGAAGACTCCAAGTCAAATCCCAACTCTGCTCTGTTCGCTTGGCTTTCTCCCGTTGGCATTGCGTCTCCAAGACACAAGTCTACGGGACTTCCGCAGAAGTGCTGTTGCAGAAGTGTCAAATGCGGGAGCTGCTCACATCTGTGGATTGCAGGAGCCTCACAGCTCGCCCCTCCTCCCTGGTATTCGTGGATCAGGGTAAGAGGCCACGAGTGAGGAGAAAAACTATGTGCAAAGAGTCACTCTGGTCCCCGGATCGAGTTGGCACCAGTGATTATTCAATTATATTCTCACCTTTGCTAGTGAAGGTCGGTGTTGCAGGAGATACATAAATACATGCTGGGCAATTGGACTGTAGCATTCAATCAAAGGAGTTAATTAATAATGTCTCAAGCTGCGCAAAGCAGATATTAAACTGAAAGGTCAGCCTTTAGCCATCAGAAAATATATTGCGCCGAAGCCTTGTTGAATGACTAACGTCAAAAATCAATGTGGACTTCTACGTTATTTAAAACAAAAAAGCAAAGGGATATTTTCTCACCAGTAACAAACTGACGGATGAGTTTTATTTCACGTCATAAACAACCCCTGACCTTTTCAGCAGTGAGTACTACTCTTGGCCAGTGAGAGAACACAGGGTGGAGAGTCTTTGGTTTTGGTGGTGTTGACCCTCTAGACCAATGCTCTGCAGTGTTTTCTTCTGAAATAAAACTCCTCAGATGGTTCAACATTCATATTGTACATTGAGAACCAAAGACTAAGCAGGGTAGCCAGAGTCAGGGTGTGGTGGTAGGGGTCATCTGGGGAGGTAACAGTTACAACCCAGTAGACCGAGAAAGGGCTGGAGGTCATTGAGGCCTGAGCTGGAAGAACTCCAGGCCCCTGCATCTAGAAAGCCTTAGGGTAGACTCCCTGGGATCGGGGTCCTCATTAAAGACCATTTTTTTTTCTAAAATAGAGCCAAAAGAAAGAACTAAAGCTCACCCCTCCAGAGTTGAAGCTGAATACACAGGGCCATATAACCTGCTGCTCCAGGAAGTTCATGATGTGACATTTCCTCTGTTTGAGTGACTGCTGCCATCGGGGATTCTGCCCAGTTTGGCACGAAGTCTCTCTGCCAATGAGCTTGTGTGGAGGAAGCGAGGGATGCCAGGGAGACTGTGTCCCACACATCAACCGGTTTGGCGGCAGCCTCTGAAAGAGAGAGGAAACAGGTTTTACGATCCCTCAGAATTGGCAAAGAGACAGAGATGAGTGGGAGAGAGGATTGGGGCCCCGGCAGGAGCGTCCACACAGCCCGCCACTACTGAGTAAACTGTGAAGAGCCGGGCCTCCTACACAGAAGGGTCTCCGGGCTCGGAGGCGGAGACCCTGTGCGGTTGTGGGACGTGCCTGTCAGGAGAGGTCTCTGGTTATTTGGTGATGTTGCTGTGAGGCTCCTCCTCCAGAAGACGATGACAGGAATCCCCTTGGCTTAGTGAGGAGGGACACCTTCAAGGAGGAGTGAGGCATGAGCTGGGTGGCATCATCCCTTCTCCCTCATCTCAAGAGACAGAGGTGGGAACCCAACTTAAAGCTGCAAGGTGGGACCTCACGTAGGCTGAGCTCTTTCAGGCTGACTGAGGCAGGATGCTGGGAAGATGGAGACAGGACCCTAGACACCAAAGCTCCCCTTCTCTGATGCCCTTCTTTCCAGTATTGAAGCCCCAGGTGGAGGGAAGGCAGGAGAGCTGTCTAATCTGTTATCTGTGGTTTGGGGGTGGCATACAACACTCAGAGAAAGCCACTCTAAATCTGAATGGTCCCCTAACCCGGTTTTCAAAACCACTTGTTTTTGTAGCCAGTGCAAATAACCCCTACTTTCTTAAAATGTGCATTCATTCATTCACTCATCAATCCCAAAGTCACTATGTACTGTGTGGTAGAGGAACACCTCGCTCAATCTCTCAGCCAAGACAAGAGCCCTGACGGTCTCTCTCCGGCTCTTCCCCCTCTCTGGACTATCTGTAGCCTTGGGGCTCCACGCCTTCCACCATTCCTGAAGCTGGGGCTGGGTGGAACCCCGGCCACCTCAAGCCCATTGTCAATCAGTGAAGCGAGAATAATGTGACTCTGTTCTGCTCCCTGGCCAAACCAGGTCTGAAAAGAAGCCATGTCACAGCTCCTGCTAGAAGACTTGGACCACTCAACAAAAACAGCACAATAGTTTCAGTGGTCGTGTTTAAAGAAAAAAAGGGAGGAAGAAAGAGAGAGAAAGGAAGAAAGAAAGAAAGAACGAACGAAAGAAGGAAGGAAGGAAGGGAGAGAGGGAGGGAAGGAGGGAAGAAGGAAGGGAGTCAAATTGATTTTAGCAGCATATTTTATTTAAATCAATGCATCCAAAACATAATTTCAGTATAAAAATATTTCTAAATGACGCATACTTATGTTCCTTTTTAATACCGTGTCATCAAAACTCCAGGCATACTGTAGCACATCTCAAAATTTCATCCACATTGCAAATGTTCAAAAGCCATGCGTGTCTCCTGGCTTCCATAGCAGGCGGGTCCCAGTTTCTGGTTCTCTCGGTTAGCCCCGTGCAAAGCCTTGGAAACCCCATGGGCTTTCTGTCCTTCATCAGTCCCATTGATATAGACTCAGGAGCAACTCATGATGAGGGGTGACCAGCAGCCACAACCTCAAGGGGTGCTGCCCAGGTAGACACCAGTGTTGGAATTCTCAGCCTTAAGGGCCCTGAGGAGTGGAGCCCAGGCCTTGCGTGTGTGTGTGTGTGTGTGTGTGTGTGTGTGTGTGTGTGTGTGTGTGTGTGTGTGTGAGTCACGCTGCAGCGGGCGGGCATATGAAAAGCAGCGTTGCTGAGCGCCGCGCTCGTTCCATTAATGACTGTTCTTGCCGAGCTCGCTCCCGCTCCCACACAGACGCAGCCTTCGTCTTCGCAGATCGTGTTTGTGTTCCCCTTGGTCTGTCTTGCCTTTAGAATTGAGGAGCAGAAAAAAAGCAGATGAAGGAATGGGAGAGAAGATGCCGAAACACAGACATGACGGACCAGCAAATCCCAGACATGGCCGATCTCAGGAAGGAGAAAGCCAACCCGGCGTGTTGCCTTTCCAATCCAGCCGTAGTTCCCAAGGGAGCACAGTGCCCACAAACAGTAACTCTCTGTCAGTGTCAGAGACACTGGACCGGTGCCCCAGAGAGTGACAGATTCTATGGGGATGGGAAATGCATGAAATTCAGTTTCAGGGCCAGTTGCAACTTTTTTTTTTTCAGTTTGTTTCCTCTTTGTGGAGCACAGAACATGCTAGGATCGCTCCCTCTTTCATTGAGGAGAGGTTATTGTGAAGTGGGTCTCTCTCTCTCTCTCTCTCTCTCTCTCTCTCTCTCTCTCTCTCTCTCTCTCTCTCTCTCTCTCTCTCTCCGTTTTTTTAGTGGAGTAAAAATAGCCCGAGGCCCAGTCATGCAGACTCGCTCACCACGTATGAGTCACTTGCTTCGGTTTTGTTGTGTGTAGCTTTTCTGAAGACACGGCCATATTTTTAAGAGACCGTTTCCATAAAGGGTTTCTCTTCCTCTCGTGGGGGTAGAACAGAAGTAGGAAGGAAGGCGAGAGGAGCTGGGAAGCAAGCAGGGCCTACTTTCGTGCTATTTTCAGACCAGTTAAAAATCCTTGGACTCCAGATTATTTTTTTTTTTAGGAAAAGCAGTCTATGGAGCTGTGCTCTGTGTCGCAAGCCTGTGGCATCTCTGGAAAGACAGTCCCCACATCACATGCCACCTACAACTGGCCAGTCCGGCCATTCCCTTGACCTCTTGGGGGAAAAAAGGCCCACTCTGACCCATGGTTGGAGTTTTCCAAGACTGGGGCTCTCCCGGGGTGATCTTGCCTCTGTAGGGCAGGGGGTGTCTCAGCATCCTTCCATAGAATGCTCTTCTCTGCCTGGTCCTGAAGAGTAGAGAGGACAGCCAAGTCTGACCAGGCTTATTTGGACCCTGGGGTAAGATATGGAGCTGAATGGATTGGTTTGGGAACCTTGATAGTGTTCCAGATCTTTAAATATCTTTGCAGATGCATTAAATGCATTATTGTATGTATTTTTTTATTGTAAATGCCAACTTGAAAAAGAAAGGGAACCTGTAAAAAGTTTTCCTAAATTTTTCCACAAATGGCAAATGACGGAGGCAATAGAGATTACGCCCTGTGTTTTCTGTCAGGGGGAAGGTATCCTAAATGCGGAGGTAGTTTTGATTATTGTCACTCACATGCTGTTGTCAAAGGCAAAGCCAGGATTACACATGCGTTTCAGTTTCTGGTCCAGGAGACGTTTCGATTAATGAGGATGCTGAGACCTCCTGCGGGAGGGCTGCCTTTGCAGGCAGAATTTCCTAGGCTGACTTCTCTGGGAGCTGGGTAGGAGTGGATGCTGCAGTGAGACCATGTAACTGGGAAGCTGCCAAGATCTCAGCCCTGATAGGTGGAAACAGCTGTGATACCCGACCCCTTGGATACAGCAGGCAAATGAGCCTTTCTGCTGTCTTCATGGTAAATGCCCAAAGAACCTCCAGGTAGAATGGGGTTGAGGAGAATGACTTCTGGGGACAGGGCATTCGTGCACTGATTAATGACAAATAAATTCTGTAAACCACACAGGTAGGTGATCATGGTCATTGTGTGCCCATCACAGAGTGTACTTACACTTTCCTAGATGAGCTAGCTGGACACCTAAGCTTTATTGTATAACATGTTTTGCTCTAGGCTGTACATGTAAAGTGCATAGAATATTATAGGCAATGGTAGCTAACGGACCATACAAAAGGCACAAAATTAATAGTAGGCAGTAGCTCCATGATACTCTTGTGTGACCATGGTGGTCTATATGGCCCATCAATGACAAGCATAGTTATATGCAACATGACTGTTCATGTTTCCAATAACGCCCTGTGATCTTTGAAGCACTGTGGGATATAGATGGTGCTATCTTTTATGAGATGAGTTTGTACTGGGCTTAAGAGAAAGTTAAAATCAGTATGTTCGCATCTAGAACATGTGTGCAAATTTTAAGTGGATTTTTCAAACGTTTAACTTTATGCACATAATTTAAAGGAATGCAAATCGCCCTGGTTTTCAGAGTCTGTCAAGAGTGACATGATCCCCGAGCCCCTAGGCCGAGTGCATTTTACCAGGTGCCAAGGTGGTTGGCGTACATCCATTCCCATTTGCCCGGAGAACGAAAGTCCCCTTCTACCTTGACAGCAGCTACTGCCCTGTCTCATTTCATACTGGTGACTACCACACTGCCATTCACAGCATCTCATAGATGTGAAATCCTGACAAAGGCCTCAAGGATGTCAGCCTTCAGAGAATTTTAAAACCCAGCCAAACTGGCTTTGGGAATGCTGTGTGTCTCCGTCTTCACCATGACAGCTGTAAAGGCCCTTATACCTTGCATGATAATATGGCAGCTGACGTGTAATGAGCTTTCATTATGCACCTGGAGCCGGTCTAATCACAGAAGCTCAAAGGGGTATGATTCCATTATCACCCCGTTTTAAGTATGAAAAAAAATCTGGACGCATGGGAATCAGTAAGAAGATAATGCAGTCGGTAGTAGTGAGAGGGAAAATGTTGCCCTGGGCATGTAACTGACTCTGGCAAACATCCGAGAAGTTGAGGATGTAAGTCAGCAAGACACAACCCTATCCCAGTGGAAATCCTGGGCTCTGGGCAGGGACTGCTGTCCACTGCACAGGCTGCTGTAGGTCTTTCTTCCCTTACCGTGGTGGGATCTTCAGTGGCGTCTCACACCATCCCTGCAGCTTTCATGAGCTTCCAAATTAAATTCTGTTCATCTCAGTTTCAAGTTAGCACACATTTCACTCATCTTCAGATGAGTGTCCTTGGTTTGATGCAGATATGCTGGTTTATTCATGGGTAGTACGTAACGTCAATCCTACTGTGTAGACCTGACACCTCTGCCTTTTAACTCAAGGCCATCTTTTCCCTTCAGCTGATGGGGGTTACTCTCCACCACCCTGACTACCCTGACAAGGGTCACTGGTGGGCTGAGAAACCCCAGTACTGTTGGGGTGCTGTCAGCACACATTGGGTATGCTTCCAACACCTAGCCGTTCCCAAAATCAGCCGCTTCAAAAGGATTCTTCCTTGGGAGCACACAGATTTGCTTCCATTCTTAATGCCTTCCGGGTTTTGTTGTTGTTGTTGTTTTGTGAAATGCGAAACAGTACCTTCAAAATATAAGATTCACTGTGTCTTCTCAGAGTCCTCTATATATGGGATTATGGGTACTTGATTAACTCAATTAATGAGTAATGAGATTAGCATATGTTTGAGATACATCTGCCTTTATTTCTAAGACCATTCTATTCAACAAGATGACCAGTTATAATTTCCAGGAAAAAAAAGCCAGTGTTTGGTCTTAGGCTCTAGTCTTAATCCCAAAGTACGGAGCTTTAACTCTTGGTCTCCCAGGCAGGTGCACGATGGATGTCCGTGTTGCTGCAACTGCACGCTGGCCCGCAATGCTGTGACTTCTGGGCTTTCTTTTGTAATGCTCTCATGCCACCAGACAACTTCATTAAAGAACACTCACATTTGTCAACACGCTGGCCTTTCCAAGAAGATGAGAAGCCTCCTATCGGAACCTGCAGCCTAACATACCTCTCTGGCTGAACTACATGTAGAGAGATAACCTATTTACATACTAAAAAGGTCAGCTTGGACAATCAGCAGTTGGAGATGAATTTGCCGCCGGTCGCAACTGGAGCATAAGAATTAGGGAGAAGCTGCAATTTTGCTGTCTTTTCATCTGAGCAGACAGCAAGCATTAGTAAATATGAGGATGCCTGCTCTAATCCACTAGAGCAACACCATGCAGAGAAGCCCAGTGATGGACAGCTCCCTCGCCCGGGTTAGAGCCTTCCTGACGCGACTGACCATGTAAAAAGAACATGCCAGTCTCTCACACTAAAAGCTGTGATTAAGAGGTGGGAATATTTGCATAATAGTCTTCCAGATTCTTAACAAAACATAAGAGTCATCCACACTAGTAGGCTCTCGGTTGTTGGTTACTCCAGTCTAACCCGCCACTTGCTTTAGGAAAGGAGGCCTTTTGAAAGTGTGGAGCATTCCCGTTGTGGTCTGACTTTTACAGTCTCTAGGTCTCAGTAGATTATAGTCGGCTGATGTGTACTCAAAGAGTCTTCAAGGGCATCATTACAGAGGCAGAGGTCTCTGCTGACAATTCTCATGCTTTTGCTCTTTGTCCATTTGGAGAGCTCCAAGGCAATGTCATCAGACCTCCCACCTTCATTATACATGTGTTTGTTCATGTATGTGTGGGTGCACATGTGTCTGTGCATGTGTGTGTGAGCTCATGTGGTACACATTGTATGTACGAGTACACACGTCTGCATGTGTGTGTATGTGTGTGTGTTCTTGTATGTGCAGGGGCATGGGCATGTGTGCTTATTCATGTGTGTGCTGGCCTGGTGCATCCAGTGTGTGCATGCATGTGCACGTGTCTGCCTGTGTCTGTACATGGAGAGAAGATAACAACCCCAAGTGTCATCTTCACATCTTCAAATACCATCTGCCCCCCTTTGAGATGTGATCTCTGAGCCTGGAGCTCACCCGTTGTGCTAGGCTGGCTGAGCGGTGAAGCCCAGTGATCTCCTGTCCCCCACGTCGCCAGCACTGGGATTACAAGCACCGTGGCCACCAGCATTCCCAGCTCTTTTTTGTTTTGTTTTGTTTTGTTTTGTTTTGTTTCGAGACAGGGTTACTCTGTATTGTCTTGGAGGCTGTCCTGGAATTCGCTCTGTAGACCAGGCTGACCTCGAACTCACAGAGATCCACCTGCCTCTGCCTCCCAAGTGCTGGGATTAAAGGCGTGCACCACCAACGCCCAGCCATGTCCAGATCTTTTACATGGGTTCTCAAAGTCAAACTCAGGTTTTGGTGTTTGCAGGATTATCACTTCACTGATGGAGCTGCCGTATCCCCTTCGCACCCTAAGGGCCCCCACCCCACTCGGAGCTCCATCTTGACTGTTGGGGTACAACCCAAGAGTCAAGACACTTCATTCCATGGTTTCAGAGAGAGCCTTGCTCTTACTCTTACTCTCTACTGTGAAGCTGGCATTGGCCACAAACAAGATACCTCTGCCCCCATCTATGCCCTAATGCTAGGATTACATGTCTGCCCTATGGGACCTGCCTGATGTTCTGGAAGGAGATCCCACTAGTGAGGCAGGATTTATGAGTGAGGCTGAAGAGTCTCCAGATTTGATGGGCTCTCGATGTGGCGAGAGCAGCCAGCCTTGGACAAGCTGCTGTCATTGTCACCGGTACCTTGGAATGGGGGATCCATTAGGGGTTCCTGCTTACTAAAGAAGGCACCGCTTAAGAATGTCTTATCCAAGCTGAGGCTTTTCTCCCTGGGTGCCCTTCCCCCATGCCTGACCACCCGAGGTCACTACATATTGCCCGGACTCGACAGCATCAGCTGATGTCACACGCCCTGTCATGGGAACATCCTTATGTTTTACTCAACATCACACGGGAATTTAGGGGGACAGGTGTGATCCTGGGCTTGTCCTGTCGTTATTGAATCAGGAAGTGGCTCCCGGGAGGAGACTGCTCCTTGTGTACATACCTGTCCCGATGGCTCAGTACGCCTGTCCGCTCAGCATTCGGTCCCTATGGCCGCGCAGTTCATCTGACTCTTGCCGTGAGGAGAGGAGAGCCGGGGCTAGCCCACTACCTCGCTTCACCTGCCATCAAGCAGAACCCCACAGAGAGTATCTGGACTCATCTAATGACGAGACACGTCTAGGCCATACACGAGGAGTTTTACATGCCTGCTGGTCTGAATCAGTTGAGCGGTGGGCACAGGCTACGCCTCCTAACAGCGTTGACCGGGTGTGCACCTCCCGCGCTGGCTGAAGGACCCCTCCCCAAAAGAGATGGCGGCTGCCCCGACCTGCGGGGCGCCTGTGCTCCTGCTCACTCTGCGCTGCTCTCTCTTTCAGAATACTCGGCAGAACAGGCCCAGCAGCAGGTGTTTCAGCAGCCGACCTTCATGGCATCCACGTCCGCCCACCCCTTCCGGGACCTCGCCCTGGGCTGGGAGCAGCACCGCAAGCTGCTTCCGGGTGTGGCCAGTATCCAAGTCAACAAAGTGGCCGGGTGGACAGTGGATGAGGTGAGAAGAACCTAATGCTAACATCCTCTAATGTCTTGGGAAATGTCCCCTGTGTGTCTCCGATTGTGCGCCTCCTCTATAACGCTTGAGCTTCAGACTGGAGCAAGAAGTTAGGCATGCCTTGAAGAAACAGGGAAAGCCCACTGTCTGCCTGGCTGCTGCTGCTGCTGCTCTTCCCCACCACAGCCTAACCCTGTAGCTTGTCACCATCCCCGTGCTAAGCAGAGCAGAGGAACCAATCCTCCGACTCCACACCCCTGGTCTGACGCGTGAGCAGCAATGCATGAGCTCCTGTGCTCAGCAAAGCCCTCTTCTCTGGGAGAGCACTGCCTTGCCCAGACACGCTGGGCCCTGAGCAATCCCATGTGCTCCCCTCAATGGTTTCTCCTTCTACACTATAAGATTGCCAGGTAAACCTAGAGTTGATTCTTAGAGGATTTACTGTTAAAACATTGGGCCAGATGTTTTACAGTGGGGAAAGTCAGGTAAGGTTTTGCACTGTGGGTTTTTACCATGACTGTGCCTTGCAACATTGCTTTTCAGCGTAGACCAGCGAAGCTTCATTGCTTACCGTAGCACTAAAGCGGAGCCTCTTATTTACCGTGTTCATTCTAAGGGAGCGCATTGTTAGACTGATGAAGATCATCATGGCCCTGGCTGGCCTCCGACAATGACCTTGCAACCTGGCAAACCCTGGTCCTCTCTGAGGACAATGCTTGGCTAGCAGAGAGTTGAGTCAAGGGGCTGGAGAGTACAGGGGGTGATAGCATAACAGGATCCTGTTCCTAAAAGGAAACTTGGGTCTGTGCCTTCTTGGAGAATTGTGCAAATCTGCAACGTGTGTTCATGACCCAGGCAACTGAACTAAAACCTTCTGTGTTCGTGATGAAATCGTACGTGAAAGGGCACTGAGCAAACAGGGAGTCCCGATCCACAGGCAGTTTCTTACGAGTTCCAATCTAGTCATTCATGTTCTTCCATTTGGTAAATTAGCCTGGGATTGGCTGCTTCCCACCCCCCTCTCCCCGACAGTCCCTCAGCTCATGACTCTCACAAGGCCAAAAAAATGTATATTAGGATAATGATGGCAAGACACAAAGTCTTATTTCACCCATTTGACCGATGAAGCCGTGAAGGTGGCCAGAAATTAAGTGACTTTCTTAGGGCCACATAGTCAGTCCCAAGCCCTGAGCTGGCATTCTCCTACTGTGCACACACTAGACTTAGAGGAAGCTAAACCCGGGACAGGGAAGAGTGTGTGCAACGGTGACTGGACAGGATGGCCACAAGATTCAGTCCGCGGCCAAGAAGTCACTTCCTGAGCAGGGTGACTTGGGGAAATGGGAATGATTTTCTGCAGAGAGAGCCAAGCCAAGGAGAGGAAGATGCCCACTGTGTTGGTTAGCAGACCCCACAGAATGGCAGGGTTCTGGCCTGAGGTCTGTGGTGAGAAACATCTGACTTTGGCGGCTATTTTTAAAAGTCACGGGGAAGTAGTCAAGACACAAAAAGATGGAGAACAAAGTGAGGCAAGTGTGATTCCGTTTATAGTCTCGGGACTAAGCGCTTAATTAGGGTAGCGGCGTGTGAGATCCGCAAGCCCAGGAACCACCTCTGGAGCCCTCCTCGTGGCTCCCAAAACCCAGCCTTGACAACTCATGAGATGCACCTGAGAACAAGAACACCCAGGACTTACTTCTGCGTCCCCAGTGGACACGCGCATTTCCCAGCACGGAAACAGACCCTCAAGAATGGTCTCCGGTCGGTTTAAAATGTGGGTTTTGCAGTGTGTTCTGTGCCTTTGAAAATAAGGCAGTCCCCAAGGGATTCCCCAAGTAGTGGGGGTAGAGACATTCAGTGAGTGCCATTCCCAACAGGGTGTGAGGCCGGCTCTGGACACAACAAGAAAGGCAACTGAGGAGGGTTTGTTTGAAAAGGCAGCCCAGGCCTGACCCGGATTAAGAGAGCTGTTTCTGGGCTTTGTTAGTAGTGGACACATTAGAGGGGAGCCCCCGCCAGGGACGTGGTATGCTGCAATGAACTCGGGCATCCTGTGTTAAGTGCCATTCAGAGAGATCTAGCATGGGGTGCCTATAGCAGAAGCCTAAGAGGGAGAATATCCCCTTTGTCTCCGTCCCGGCCTGGGAGGGAGGCCTCTGCTCCACATAGTGCTACCTGTGAAGCCAAGCCAGCTCAGGCCCTTTGTCACTCTCCACAGAGCTGGGGACCGGCTTTATCTCCTTTGTCACCGTGGCTGTCTTCCCCACAGCACTCTTTGCAAGGCATGGGGAGGCTGTGAAGCAGATTTATTGGCTGTGAAACAAAAGGCACGAGCGTGTGGTAATACGCTATGTGCCATAAGCGTTATTGTTTTGTAACACCACATCAGAGGTGAGGGTGCGAGCACACATTATGTTATCTCCTGTGGAAGCGTATTTCTCACGCCGGGACAGGCACATGGTCTACATAAGAATACAGGCTTGTAAGAATAAGGACTAAAATATTTTAATTTTTTTTAAAAAACATGTTTCTGTACATCTTCATAGAAAATCTTTTGGCCAATGTCTGTGTGGTGAACAAATGAACAGATGAATGAATGAGTAACCCATCCTGTCTTCATACACTATAGAGTGTGCGTTTACCATCCCAGGCACGGCTCGGTCTCCCGTGGCTTACAGGTGGGCACTTTCACCTCTTCCGTTCTAAGACGCAACTTAAAGTACCACATATAAATTGTCCTGCTCTCCACCAAGTGCTCCCTAAATGTTCATTAGCCATAAAAGATGGCAGTCGCTTTAAAAGCAGGCATTGCACGGAAAGGCGATGTTTTTGCAAAACCCAGGGTTCTGCTGGCTAAGCATAGCAGCCTTCTGCCCTTGCACCCTTCCAAAAAAAAAAAAAAAAAACCAACCAAACAAACAAACAAAGGCAAATAAACTCTACTGGAAAAAATATATATATTCGAGATATTCAGAGTGGAAGCACAGTCCCCGGTGGATTTCCAGGCAACGAGATCCAGTTCACATCTCCAGGCTCAGAAAGAGAGGGGCACCACCGTTCGGGAAGACGGAAGACGACACAGCCCGCTGCAGAAGGGAGGCGTGCTGAGTGCCAGCGAGGAAGCCAGGGAAAGTAGGTCATGGGGGGACGTGTGCTGGGTAAAGTAGAAGGCTGGTAGGAAAGCCCAGGCAGAGTCATCCCTCTTAGTCTCTCCAGACTGCTGTCTCATGCCTACAATTAACTTGCTCGGAGCCCTTCCAAAAAAAAGCCGGGGTTTTGGGCACAGAACAGCGTGCTCCCAGGAGAGTAGAAAACAGATGGACACGTGTCAGTCTCTGCACCCAAGCTGACCCCCCAGATTCACGGCAAGCAGTACAGGCTCGCGGAGTGGCTCCCCAAACCAGGATGTACCCCAGAACCAGAGCCAAGGGCACAGATAAACACCACAACTTCCTACAGCATGGGCGATCCCCAGAGACAGCCGTGGCCCGGGCCCCACAGCGTTTCAACGGGGTACTTGTTACTTTGAAAGGTAGGTCCACCTCACAGTTACCCCCCTTGAGAGGTGGGTAGCAAATTATAACCATTTCTTCCTTCAGAGAGTTCACTCCTATTGAGCGGTTGTCCTCACTTTGTGACACATTTGTTAGGAGAAAAGGGTCTTTGATGGGAGAACGAAAAATCGGCATTATTCTGTGGCATGTTAAAAAAAAAAGAGAGAAATCTCACCATTTACACTAATTAAACTGCATGCTGAAATGCAAAATACAGTTTACCTTGAGGGAAAGCAAGTACTGATAATACTGAGCAAGGCTCTGGGATGTTTTTAAGATCTGGACAAAGACTTCTTTTCCGTTGGCACATTTCATGGCACTGTTTTTCACCATCGAAAAGAAAAAATCATAAAGAATGGGATCTTTCCCGGAAGCAGGGCCCTTGAGGCAGCTGGTGAGGCTTAGAAGGCAGAGATGCCCTGCTGTATGCAAAGAGCTAAGGCGGGGGAGCCCAGACCCCCAAGGAAATGTGACGGCAGTGGCCCTGGGGTAAGTGCTGTCACCCTCGGCAGCACAGACCCTGCTCTGCCCAATGCTTTGGTCCCATGTGTTGTTTATCCCCACGGGAACCTGTTTGCCTTTGCAGTTGAGGGTGAGCTCTTGGCCAGCTATGAAGGAGAAGGGGAGGGAGTCCATGTGAGAGGCTGGAGGGATGGGGCTCAGGGACATGCGTAAATGATCAGAGCAACTTGCCACCTCCCTGCGGCGAGCAGCTCTCCGCACCAGGAGGAAGGAGCATGTCTTGCCCAACTGCTCCAGTTTGTCACGAGAGGCCCGCTGTCCCTGTGGCCTGGCATGCTTTCCCCATGCAGAGGACCTAACTGAGATAGAGCATAACTTAGGTCTTGACCCAACTCCTGGCCAACCTCCCTCCCCCCCCCCCCCCCCGCAATCCCAGAAAATTTAGTGATTCTTCTATTGGAAGTGTCACTCCAGCAGTAGTAGACCTATCCCTGAGGGGCCTTTGACAGCCTGTGGAGACACCTTTTGGATGTCAGGGCTGGAAAGCAACGTTGTTCTTCACAGCTAGGGAAGCTAGCAGCCAGGGGTGTGAACAGATGCCCCACAACATAGAGAAGCACTCTACAGCAGAATTGCCTATCCCAAGGAGTCCGTGGTGCTGAGACTGAGAAACCCTGTGCTTGGCTTAGCTTCGTTTCTCCGCCTGACCAGTCGGGAGGATTTGACTGCGGCACTGTCTCCTCCTTCAGATCTGCAGACAGACCTTCCTGCTTTCCCATTAGGGCTGTAGGTGATGCCTGATGGCCCATGGAAGGTGGCCTCGGGAGTCCAGGCAGACAAAGAAGGCCCCGCCTCTCCAGCTCTCCCTTGCATTTGCAGCTCCAGCCCTCACTGCAGCATTCCTTCTGAGCTCTGACAGTAAAATGCCCAGTGAGTGGCCCCAGTCCAGCTCCATTCATCTGTAACCTCTATGGCAAGAGCCCATGTTTCAGTCTGGGCTGCAAGCTCTGCAGGAGAGGGCGATGTGTGGCCAGGCTGAGAACACGGATTTCAGGTTCCCCACTGCCTGCTGTTAGAAGCGCAAACCCCTCCCCAGAGATCACACCACCCTGTTTTCCCACATTCTCCTTCTGCTCCTCAGACTCCTCACTGCTGCTCACGCTCGTCCTGCCTCTGCACTGGCTCCTGGGAATCTGCACATCTGCCAGGAGTTTTAACCCCCAGGAAATAACCGTGCACACCGAAGGAGCCTTTCCACCCCGGGGCGATCTCTTCCTGAGTTCCCCTGAGCTGCAGCCTTTCCGTCCAGGGTCCAGGAGCCTTTGCCTGTCTCCTGCAAGAGGGTCACGCGTGTGATTGCGTAGTATGGTGATGGGCAAGCTGGAGCCTCACAAGGCTTTCTCCTTTCCCCCTCTCTCCCTGTGAACGGAGCCTGAGACTCAGCAACACTCCAGTCCTGTTCAGGGGTGTGCCCATCACAAGGTTCTCAGGCACAGTCATGGCGGATATTTAAAGACAAAAGAACAGCCTGGGAAAGGATTCAGACAAATCCGTGTCCTGGGCTCTGGAGGTCCAACATCTGTCTGTCACCTCTACAACTACTGTCACTTACCCCAGTTCCCCATCTGTGTGACCTGAAGAGTGGCCTTGCATAGCTTTCATCAACTCCCTGTAGATTCCCAACGTGTGCTCCCTGCTTCCTGTTGGTGCAGGGAAAGCCACCAATCTCGACTCTGCTTCCTCTCCCTGTGCCCTATAGGAGCACAGGACACTCAGTTGACCACCCCCTGCCATGCTGATCAGTCTAGTCTGCTCATGCTTGTGCTGGAGTGAGTCTTCCCACAGTGGGATTCACAACTTCCCACCTTAGGAGGATAAAACCACAAATTAGCTCTGCCGAGCTAGACTTCTCACGCTGGGGTGGGTAGGACAGATACCGAGCACCTGCCAAGAGCCCCCAAAAGAAAATACACTTAGCTTTTTGGGGAGTCCCCTAAATGCAGCCAGGAGAACACAGGTGCATCTTCCGGGCGATGGTCCTCACTATTCTGAGTCCTAAGAACAGCTGTCTCAACACTTGGTGTCCGTTGCTCTCCCTCGGGGAGCAGGGTCCACCTATTTCTGGAGAGACTTGAATTAAGTGCTCTCAGGACTCTAGGAGGTGGGGGCTGTTCGTCTATAGATTGTTGCCATCTCATGGAAAGGACAGGCAGGTGCTCACCACCAAATCAAACCAGGAGGTAGCAAGGGAAAGCAAGCCAGTTCCCCTAAGATCCCTAACCCCCAAGAACCCACATACTCCAACCCCAACTTCCCAACTTGCTGCAGCTCGGCTAGACCTGTCCAAGCACCCAAAGTCACCAACACCCACTTACCCAGGGCCCACATTTCATCTTATCCAAGCAGGCATTATCTGTTTGGAACACTCAGTGGCTATCTGAACCATAGTCAGGTCTTCAAGTTCTTTCACTACAAGGAAATTGGACTGTGTGCCGGGGTGTGTGTGTGTGTGTTTATGGGTGCTTTCGTGTGTGTGCACACACACACACACATGTGTGTGTAAAGGGAGATGAGCCATCGAGTAAGATGGGAAAGTCCAGTTCAAGAGAGTGATTTCCAGAACTCAGGGTTTGGGAAGAGGCAGCCTGATCCCAGATTCTCTGCTGCTAACTAGCCAAGTAGGACTATCCATTTGTTAAGACTCTCTGGGCTTTACCATCATTTATGTGGGAATCTAGTCCAGCAAGACCTATGACGTTTCCATGGTTCCCAGGTACCAGGAGAGGTGTGCTAGAGCCCCAGTGGTTCCTGAAGGAGGAACTTGCTCTTTATCAGTGCCTGTAAGCAAGGCGTTCCTACCACCCGTGATAACCACTCTCCAAGGCCACCAGACCCACTCAATCAGGAGGAACACATATTGGCCGGAGGCTCACACAGATGCAACTCATCCCTGTCCCCTTTACTAACATACCTTGGTGTAGGCCAGCCTGGTGACAAATGGATGGGAAAGACACTGGGGACAGGACACACCCAGTGAGCTAAAACAAAATGGCAGTGTGGTTTTACAGCCGCTATTTAAATCCCAAGTGCTCGGGACTCGAAATATATTGCATTCGCACACAGAGTTACTTCAACCATCCAACTATTTCAGGTGCACATTTTTTTTTAATTCAGCTCCTCATTCTGTTTTGTAGGTGGCTGAGTTTGTACGATCTCTTCTGGGCTGTGAAGAACATGCCAAGTGCTTCAAGAAAGAGGTAATAAACGGGGAAATTTTTGTGCTTCTGGGCCCGGGAGTGCTTTGCTTCCATCTATTTAAGAGTAAACAAGAGCAGTTGAGTAGAGGAGGCAAGAGGAAAGGGGCCAGGGAAGAGCCCGGAAGTGCATCCTGTGATTGGCCATCCTTACCCTTACCTTACCGACACAGGGTGTGTAAGAGATAACTGGTGTCTCAGGGAGGCGTGAACCTTGCCGGGAAGGGATGAACTCTCTCTGCTCTACCATAAGAGTAAGAGCGGCCCATCCCCCTTCCTGCACCTGCTTCAGGGCGGACGTAAGAAACACACTCATGTGGCAATTTCTGCTGCCTTCTGCTTCCCGGTGGTTGTTGGCAGCGTTCTCAGTTGCTTAGCATTTCTCTTCCAAAAGAAAAAATTATTTTCTGCTTTACATATACCAACCCTAGGTCTCCCCCAACCCGCCTGCCCCCTTCCCTCCTCCCATCCACTCCTCACAGGGGATAAGGCCTTCCTTGGGGAGTCAACCAAAGTCTGGCATGCCAAAAGGAGGCAGGACCAAGTCCCCCCTCCCACTGTATCAAGGCTGAGTCCACCCTAGGAAATGGGCTCCAGAGAACCAGGCCATGTCCCTGGGATAGGTCCTGTTGCCTCTGCTAGCCCCACATACAAATCAAGTCACACAAATGTCACCCACACTCTGGGGGTCTGGTTTGGTCCTCCTGAAGGTTCCCCAGCTGGCAGCCCATAGTCTGTGAGCTCCCCATCTGTGAGCTCAGGGCAGCGGTCTCTGTGGTTTTCCCCATCATGCTCTTGACTGCTCTTGTTCATATGATCCCCCTCCTCCTTCCCTTCAACTGAACTCCAGGAGCTCTGCCCAGTGCTTGGCTGTGGATCTCTGCAGCTGCTTCTGCCAGCTACCGGATGTAGACTCAAGGGTGACAATGAGGATAGTCACTAATCCGATTAAAGGCCTGCTCAGAAGTTCAGAGCCCTCTCTGTTATTGCTAGGAGTCTTAGCTGGGGTCATCCCTGTGGATTCCTCTTACACCACGTTTCTCCCTAATCCCATAATGGCTCCCTCTAGCAAGATAGTCTTTCGTTGCTCTTCCCCTCCCCCAACTGGGTCTTCTTGATCTGATTGGGTCTTCTTGATCCCTCGTGTTCCCATCCTCCATCCCCTTCCCTTCTACCCCCCTCCTCCTAGTTTGCCAGGAGATCTTAACTATTTTCCCTTCCTGGGACCCTCCTTGTGTATGCCCCTCTTAAGCTTCTCCTTTTTACTAAGCTTCTCTGGGGTTGTGGATTGTAGCCTGGTAATCCTTTGCTATACGTCTAATATCTACTTATGAGTGAGTACATACCATGTTTGGTTTGTTTCAGGTCTGGGTTACCTCACTCAGGATGTGTTTTTCTGGTTCCATCCATTTGCCTGCAAATTTCAAGATGTCATTTGGTTTTCAATCGATGAGTAATACTCATTAAGTAAATGAACCACATTTTCCTTATCTGTTAGTCGGATGAGGGGCATGTAGGTTGTTCCCAGGTTCTGGCTATTACAAACAGCACTGCTATGAGCATAGTTGAGCAAATGTCCCTGTGGTAAGATTGTGCATCCTTTGGGCATATGCCCAAGAGTGGTATTGCTGGGTCTTGAGGTAGACTGATTCCCAATTTCCTGAGAAACTGCCATACTGATTTCCAAAGTGGCTGTACTTTGGAAATCAGTGCGCTTAGCATTTTTCAAAAGCTAGACTCCACAGTTCCAGGGGCTACAGAAAATACTGGGTCTACTGTAGATGATAAAATAACAGTGATGGGTATCTCACTCCTGACTGATATGAACCTTTGCTAGGCTGAGCTTCTTACAGAGGTCCTTTGTTCTCAGAACCATGTCTATAAAGGAAGTTTGCCTTAGAAGACATCCTCAGGAAGACCAGGTGCAGAGGGAAAGGGGCAGTGTCATAGGCTCCCCTCTCAAAGGATTCTGCTGGTCTTCTGTGCTCCAGGAAATGCTTCAGTGCTCCTTAGATCCTAGGGAATGTTCATTGCATGACATCCCTGTCTGCCCTTTGAGTTCAGAGCACACATGATTACAATTCAAGGGATGTCTTCTTGAAGTCCTCTGTCCTGAGGCCCTAAGAGTCCTGCAACTTTTGGTAGCATCCAACAAAGCTCAGTGTTTTTGTGGTTCCACCAGGGTGCAACGCAGCTTGGGCATCCCTTACCCAGGCTTGCACCTAGCCCACTGTCTTCATTTAGCAATGCGGAAGACCTAGTTTGTCTCTGAGTCTGTGTGATCAATAGAAATCCCTCTCTGGGAGGTTTTGAGTTGATGCCTTCTGACCCCTGTGGGCAAATCACTGAAACCCTCTTGCTCCTCCCCATCTAACACACAGACTTATGCCATGGGATCTTTAAAGTAGACCAACCAATCAGTCCTTAGTAAGGACAGCAACATAGAGCAGACCATCTCATCTGGGGTGCCCTAGTCACTGCCTGAGACCCCAGCTTTGCCTCTGAGAAGCTGTGTGACATTGGGACCATCTTTAAACATGGCATTCCAGGTGTATTCATCTACCTTACAGGGTCATCAGGAGAGTGAAGCACACGCAGTAGATTATAGTAGATTCCTGCATCTCCATAACCGTTCTCTGCTGTCTTCACCATCACTGTCTTGTTCTCATGAGAACTGAGTGTTTGGCCCATGGTTTTTGCTGGTGCTGAACCCAGATCAAGGAAGGGAAAGAGATGTAATGCCTCACTCCTGCCTCAGAGAATGGGAATTATATCCCCAGAGAGGCACTTTATTATCTAAGTTGCTGTGTCTCCATCAGATAGCAAATCATAGAGGTATCTAAAGATTTTTAGAGCTTTCGTAAGTGTTCACGGGCCTACCCAAGAACCCCAGGTACCTCATCCTTCCATCAAAGGGGTCATCGCCATCAAGGAGCCATTGACTGTAATAGGTCTGTGCTGTCAGGGTTGAGTTCAGTGGGTTTGCATGCCTGGCACTGGTTCACAAAGGGGTTGCCATAAAAATAAAATAACCCTTCATCCCAGTCACTGGTTCTGCATCCAAGAGTCAGCTGACCTTGATAACTACATAAGTGTGTCTGTCGTGTAGGGACAGGACCGCCCCCCAAGCTCCACAGAGTCATGCTCCACAAAGGTGGATTGGCAGTTTGCATGGTGAATTTTCATCATCACGTGCCTCAGGAAAGCTGTCACACTTCATATAGCCACATGCTTGCCTAACTTAAAAAAAGGCACATCTAACTGCCGTGAGGATTGAGTACAGTATAGATGATTTGATATGCGTGTATACAAGCATATGATTGTCACGGTGAAGGTCATTATACGTCTGTCACTCCCCAATTTGGACTGGAAGCAAGAGTCATTCTGACATTGTTTCTAAATGGGCTTAAAAGTTAATAAATGAAATAGCTATTGCATGGTGTGTTTTTGTTTGTTTGTTTGTTTTTGTTTTTTGTTTTTGTTTTTAGTACAGAAAAGAAACTTGAAATTATTGCCAAGCCACAGGGATTGAAATTAAGACCAGTCATTATTCTGATAGCCAAAGATACTTCTCTTGCTATGGGGGATAGAGGTTTCCAGTATTTTAGTATTACTATGTATGTGCCGTGTGTGTGTGTGTGTGTGTGTGTGTGTGTGTGTGTGTGTGTGTGTCAGTGTGGACACAAGCTGTAGCATACACATCAGAAGACAATTTTGGCCATCAGTTTTGTCCCTCCACCGTGGGTTCCGGAGACTAAACTCAGGTCTGTGCTCATACAGATTTATTTTTAAAAACCAGAAGGTCCCTGTTGCCATGATGCTTATTACTGATTAATACTTTGTGAAGTTTCCCAGATGGTGGAACGTTTCATCAAAGCGTGTTTGGGGCATTGTACTGTGCAATATCCCGACTACAATTTCTTTCCTTCTTCTGTTGCAATATCGCGTTGTTCCCATGTTCCCACATCTGTGGTAACACCAGACAGAGCCTGCACAGGGTGCCTTATACTCTGGAGATTTACTAGGTGGTCCTTTTAAAGCTCTTGGAACATTCATGCTAAAAATGTTGTAACATAACAATGGAAATCTGTGCTTGGGCAAGTTAATATATTGGGTTTATATTTAACAACATGAGAACCTCCTAGTTTAATTTGAATCCTTTGTTCTATGAACACAATGGAGTTGACCCGACTTGAGTCAAATGGGAGGGAGTGATGGGGGCCATACAGATTCAGTGTCACACTCTGTACCCAAGAACTGCTGAGTTAGCTAAAGAGGCTCCAGTGTGGAATAATTATATTTGTGATTGTTTATTTGCAGCAGATAGATGGCAAAGCCTTCTTGCTTCTGACCCAGGCAGACATTGTCAAAGTGATGAGGATCAAGCTGGGTCCAGCACTGAAGATTTATAATTCCATCCTGATGTTCAGGAACTCCCGGGACATCACTGAAGATGATGTTGCTGCAGGCCAAGAATCTAGGAGATAAACGTGCTCCTGTGTAACCCCCGGCACTGGAACTTGTGCTTTTGGAAGCAAGGTTGGAAGTCATCCATTTGAATTTAACGTCCCCGTGGTTAGACCCATATTTAGTCCAGGCCCTTTCAAGTGTCTGGCTTAGGTGTCCGGCGGACTTTTGAAAAATGATGAAAAGCCAATGACTCAGACACTTAGTTAGGTCCAAGTGTGGGATTTTATGGCATCCTTACTGCAACAGACTGAAGAAGCCGTCCATATGCCTGACCACCATCCTCTATGGAAAAAAAAAAAAAAAACAACTAAAAAAACAAACCATTTTCCATTCTGCAAACATTAAGTGTCTCAAGTGGTAAAACACCAGAAAATCAGTTCACGGATGCATCATTAATGTGTTCACCGGAAACACATCTGAGCACGGTTCACATTTGTCATCTGGGCACGTTGAGTCTAAGAGATAGGAGCCTAGTGTGCTCACGAAAGACTCATGAGGTACTGTGCCCTTAACTCAGGAAAAGTGTGCGTCTCTTAAAAGGCGCTAACAAGCACATTGTTTCCACGGTCCACATTGTCGTCATTTCTTTCAATGATTCCCTGAGTGTGGAGCCAAGGTGGCCCGGAGCCTACTCCAAAGAGTGCCTAGGGCCAGGCAGTGGTGGCGCCCGCCTTCAATTCCAGCACTTGGGAGGCAGAGGCAGGTGGATCTCTGTGAGTTTGAGACCAAGCCTGGTCTACCTAGCGAGTTCCAGGACAGCCTCCAAAACAATACAGAGAAATCCTGTTTCGAAAAAAAAAAAAAAAAGAGTGCCTAGAAGTCTCAGGAGAGTCGTTGGGCACTTCAGGAAGCGGATGAGACGCTCAAGAGGACCCACCATCAGGGCTGTATCCGGAGTTCGCTCCCACTCTGATGAAGCGAACTTCAGAACGAACCCCTCCTTCACCTGTTGGTGCTGAAGCAAGCCTGTCTGGTTCAGGTCCCATCCCCACAGAGGCATGTCTGCGGCAGGACGGAAAACCTCCCCCAGAGAGAGGCTCCGGATCTGATGCTTGGCTGAATTCCTCTGACAGGTTCTTAGACCTCGGTCATATCTGAGAAGTGAGTGTGTCTGAGATTGGAGTTGTGGACAGACCACTTCATAATTATAAAAAAAAAAAGGAGAACCGCCAAGTCTACAACTGTTTCTGCTCCTTTTCATAGTTGCTACTAAAACTGCCTTTAGGGTGTGACACGGAGGGGGAAGCAGACCTCACAATGTCCTCCTGCCACATTAATAACATCCCCAGTTTAACACAGTTGATTCTGCTTGGCGAGCTTCTCTAACTTTAGGTCACTGAAGGAGAAAAAGACTTGAAAGCATATATATCGTGTTCTTTAAATGCTTAATCGAGCATAAATTTAACATACTATCAGGTGGTGCAAATTTGTTTCTGGGATGTTTTGTTTCTCCTTTTTTTGTACATTTCCATATGCAATAAAAATTCCTGCTTCTACTGTTAAAGTTTTAATATGTTTTAAATGTTAGTAAACATGTAAAAGGCAGCCTCTCCCTGTCTTTCTGGAAGTGTGGTCATAGCTAGCACCTGCGCTATAGTCGTGGGTCCATTTTTTTTCCTCAGCTGTAGAATAAAACAGAGGTAATTGCATGCATTGCCCAGCAGAGAAACTTTCTGGTTTTGACTGCTGTGTTCTTTACGGAAGCAGCTGAAATATTAATAGTGTGAGAGACTAAGTTGGAAGCTTTTTAATTAATACAGGCTTTATAATTGCTTATTTTATAGAAGACCTGAGCCTTGGGGCTCAGATACTACAGAATAATCAGTAGTGCCCAGAATAGAACAAATGACATCAGCAGAATTGGGGTTGAATTGTTTTTTCTGGAAGACAGTGTGATCAGGTATAGATAGATACCCCAATCTTAGTATATCTCTCTACCTGAGAAAATGTCACTGTTAAAGTAATTAACCAAGCCATGAAGTGAAGGAACTTCACCTGAGTGTGCTGATTTCTGTGGTGTAAATTCTACCACCACAACATCACTGGGGTAGGAGGAGAGGTACCCAGACAGTTCTCACATGATACTCCCTGTAGGTCCAGCGTTCCACGGGCACTCTATAATCCAGCCCCATCCACCCTTTTTATCCTCTCTCTTTGACCTCTCATGCCAGATTTGATACCTCTTTGATATATCATGCTAGATAAAGTCTGGGCTACTTTTCTTCAAAGCTCCCCGTGCTCCGATTGGTGGGCACCCTCCAAGATTCTACATCCTGCTTCACAGCTGAGCTTAGCATCTCGGTAGGTTTTCTTGATACTATCGCTGTAGGTGTTGCCGCAACAACCAGTAGGTTCCTTTCTGGTATATGTCACACTTCAGTGGTGTTCCTACACATGTAACTCTTCCGGTGTCTTTAGAAGCAGTGTGGACAGCCTATGACAGTCATGTTTATTACTGACTCCCTGTGATAAATGTAATGTCTGGCTTTAAGTGGGTGTACAGCTACATGCTGTGTTAATGAATGAAGCAAGACAATCAAGCTTAAATCCCAGCTTTTCAACCCACCTAGATGGGTGTAAGGGCACTTGGACTGGGGAGCAAGACCTGGGCTGTTGAATGGGGTCCCTCACCTTGAAATATTTGCTTGATCTCAAACTCTATCTTAACCTTCCAGCCAATGACCAATTTTTCACATTCATTCACTTGAAGTTTTTGTTCCATATCATCTTAGGAAATTTTTCATATGTTGATGCAAGTCCTAGAGGGCACCGACAGCTATTATTTTGCATGTGAAATGTTCCTGCGAATGTATTCTTAGTATTTGAGAACATGTTCTATGTGAATATACTCTTACAAATCTATTCCTCTTAAAGCCTCTTTTCTTATAAATATATTCATGAAGAGCATGTTTGTTAATAGATTCTTGAATATTCAGAATCCTTATAAATATCTTCCCTATGAACACATTTATTAATGAATAATATATTAAGAAGAAATCTTTTTATCAAACATCTATTCTTGTTAAGTGCCCTCAGCTTTCAATTTCTCTTAGTCCTATGGTTTCCAGTTGGAGTAGAAAATCAGGGTAACTTAACACCTTAAAACGATGTGGTAGCCAGGCGTTGGTGGCGCATGCCTTTAATCCCAGCACTTGGGAGGCAGAGGCAGGTGGATCTCTGTGAGTTCGAGGCCAGCCCGGTCTACAGAGTGAGTTCCAGGACAGCCTCCAAAACAATACAGAGAAACCCTGTCTCGAAAAACCAAAAACAAAAAAAACAAAAAAAAACAAAACAAAACGATGTGGTAAAGACCAAATAAGCATTGTTCAACTCAAACTTAAGATTTAAGCAAATAAATTTGGTGACTGAATCATTTGGTTAATTGGTGATCAGCAAATATATTTCTCATTAAAGTCATCTGCCTCCAAGGGTTTGTATCACATATTCTTTCCAGGAGGATGGGGAAATTTTGGTCCAGTAATTAGCCTGATACAACCCTGCTGTCAGAGCTGATTGTCCCAGAAAGATGACCATGGAACCCAGGGGACACCCAGATGACAGTGAAGACGTGAGTCATAAAGAAAAGGATAATAGCAGAGCAGAAAGCTGTGCATATTGACACCAGGCATTCTGCTCTTGGGGACCAAGATGGATTGAGGGACAGTACTACTGTGTCTCTGCTGCTTTATGGGCAGGGGAAAGGCTGTGGGGTGAGGTAGAGGAGCCACAGAAATAGGAGTGGAAAAAGGAAAGAAAGGGGTGTGAGAAATGATGGTTTTAAAACATCGAGTTAACTCACTTCTCTCCAAAGGTTCTGTTTCGAGAGATCAAACCAGTTGCTTTTTGCTGTTTTGCTGTAGAGGACCGCCCATCACTTTTCGGTTCCCTTTGATGTAGAAAGCCAGGCATCAAAGCAAATTCATTCATGAAGAACAGAGTACTAAGAAATCCCAGGTTACACCCAGAAGTTTTGGGGCAGATTGAACTACAATCATTGCGCTTTGGCTGACAGCAAATGCGTGGGACACACATAGGGACTGTCTGGAATACGGGAGTCTCTTTATTTGTGAAATTCTGGAGTCTATAAGGTCTTTACGTAGAGAAAAATCATCAGGAGTTACTGACTAACAGAAGCTCGACGCCGTGTGTTTAAAGTCTGGTGGTAAAGGATGAAGGATGTATTCACCAGGTCCTGATCCATCTCAGCCAGAAGAACACAGACTGGATAATTCAGAAACCACAGACATTTCTTTCCCAGTTCCTGAGAGTGAAACGCCCAAGAGCATGGCCCATACTGGCATGCGGCAAAGGTCTTCCCCGGCTGCAGGCAGAAGGACAAAAAGCAAAAGGGTACCAGAAGCCACCTTCACCTTTATAGCAGTTCTGTGTACCCAGGGTGATGGCACTCAGTAAGGAGGGCTAAGCCAATGGCTGAGTCACAGCCCCCTAAGCCCCGCCTGCTGTGCTGTGCTAAGAGTGACTGACCTAATCATTTCTCCCTAGGCCTCACCTGCAGAGCTGTGCTATGGATGATTGGGTGCCCAACACATGAACTGTGGGGGATGCCCTGGAGCTGAACTGTTGGCAAGGGAGGATGAAGAGTCCAGTTATCAGCTGGCCTTGTCAGTGGGTGTATGGCAAGTATGGCGCGGGGAATCCATGGGAAATGTTGCCTCTGAACAACTGCAGCATGCGGGGTAGGATGTTCCCTACGGTTGTCTTCAGAAGAAGATGGGGAAGAGGAAAGAGAGAAAAGAGGAGGAGGAGGAAGAAGAAGAGAAAGAGGAAGAAGAAGTAGGAGGAGAAGAGGAAGAGGAAGAAGAAGAAACTAGAGGTGTGATTTCTCCAACAAGAACCAATTGACATTTCAATTGGTCTATTGCTACCAACAGAAATGGTCGGGCATCAAGCCACTTCAAAGTGCCTTACTGAAGGAGAATTCAGGAAGGTTAGTTAGTGTTGATGGTCAAGTCTTGAAATCTTTCAGTTTTGAGTCACTCTCCAGCAACGCCAACCTTTTTTCCCTTCCCATTTGCTGTTTTTGCTTTTAAGAATATTTGCTGGTCTTTCATGGGCCTTTGCTTCTGCCAGTCTCAATCAGAAATTTCCCATCAAAGAGATGTCCCCACCCACCTTCCACACTGGGACATCGAGCCTAGCGGCAAAGGGAAAATACCACAGATGCCCATCCATATGCTTATTGATTTGATTCTGAAATTGTTTTCAGATGAACCAGAAAGTTTACTAGAGCAGTCTGTCTGTCTGTGTGAAAGTTTTTACAATGCATTCACTCAGCAAATGTCTATTGGAAACTCATGCTGTGCCACGCATTGTCTTCACGGGGGAGGCAACTATGAAAAAACTAAGTAAAAATCCTTCACAAGCAATGCTAACTGGCCCAAGAACGGTGTGTGTGTGTGTGTGTGTGTGTGTGTGTAATAATTAAGGAAGCCATGAATTTGAGAAGGGAGACATGGGAAGAATTTAACTTGGGAGAGAGAGCGGCATGGGAATTGTGTAAATATGGTCTCATATATGCAAATCCACAAAATAAATTATTTAAATTAAAAACAAATTCTTTTCATAAAATCAGTTCAAATTGATGGTGAACTAAAAGATGAAGATGAATATAGGAAAGATAAAGAGAAACTTCTAGAATCCTATTAATGGATAGATGACCTTCTGGCACTCCTGTCTCTTAAGAAATGTGGCCAGGCAATGCCGTTCACTGGAATCCCCAAAAGGTAGTACTTGAATCAAGAGACACTTGTCTCCACACACCCAGATGTCGGCATGATTGCATCTGCATCTTTGTTCTTTCTCTGTCCATGCCCACCATGGAGATGCCCATACTCCCCTTCCCCTAGGGTCTAGAATGACCCGCTATATAGAAGTCCATAAAGCTAACTGCCCAACTGAAAACTGTGGATATTAAGTATCAGGTTGACATTAGCAATTAAATAGCCAGATAACTTGAAATTGCCAGACTTTTATTCCCTGGGGTTATAAGTGACAATTAACGAGAAGCAATCAGACATATTTCCAATGTGATTAACCGAGATTGTCATCAGGCAGGTAATTTTAAATACCACTGTCTTTTAAATACAGATTCAATAATTTCAGCTCAGTGGTATTCTAATATTTATGATGCATGTGTAATAAATGTAGAGATGAGCGTGTTTCCACATATTTAGGCTTGGTAATGCAAAAGGCTTGGTAATGCAAAAAAAAATATCCAGCAGATATTTGGACTCTCAGAGCCCTGGGGGAGTGATTAATAGGGTGTTAGAGATTGAGTCCAGTACTGACTTGAAAGGAGAGCACATTGACAGACTGGGTGTGGTGGGGAGGTCAGGGGTCGTGTCCCGTCTAGAAGCAACTGTACATATCCAGCATAGAGCTTGCACTGCTGCCGTTCCTAGAGTCATCCTAGGCCTGCTCCTCACAGCAGTCATTTAAATGCATGTGGACTTGAAAACTGAATTCCCTTAGGAGGTGTGCAGT